TGTCTTGTCATATATTAAATTAATAAACATTTGTACCTGGATTTATCACTAAAATTTTTCTGAATTAATGATAGCTGGCCACTTTGTGTTTTTTTGCATAATAATCGGAATAACACAATTGTAAAACAAATATTGAAATAAATGTACTATCTTATAAAAATATTTGAGACATTATTGGAACCGTAGATACGCCTCTCCATGCAACCATTAATATATTTGTCAGCAAAAACAAATTGACCCAAAACGTAGTTCTGTTAAATTTACAAGTAATGAGCCTAAAATTAGAAAATTAGAGAACAAATCTGGAAATTTTCAATTGGTACTGTGTGATTTCACAATGGAAAATAGTAGTTGTTACATATCGACACAGCTTGTAGATAAGAGTAATGAACCACAGTGATAAAGAGATTATATTATTTCCAGGAGAACTCTTCTAATTCTTTGAGCTAAGAAAATGCTTTATGAAGTGAAAGACACGTTCAAGTCATAATAATGAGAATGCCGAGCTCCTTTCAGTTGGAAGTTCTTTGTATTTTAGATAACAAAGTTTATAATATATTTCCTTAGCTTTTTAATAGGAAACACTAAAATATAAATTAATGCTATAAATTTGCCAAGTTTTATCAAAATATTTCTAAAAACAAGCAAACTACAATATTTTATATAAAAATAACATGGGGGTTTTAAATTCTAATTTTTTTTAAATTTCCTCCGTTACCCACCAAACCGTACAAAAACACTTTGGTATATTAAATTATTTGTTTTTTAAGCTCTTTAAAATGGTCTAGATACAAATTGGGATATGTTGTCTTTTGAGGGTCAAAAATGAGAAAACCCAATTTTTACCACCTAAAACCCCCGTAAAACTATGTTCCCATGGACCGATCATGCTGGTTCGCGACTGGTAGGGTAGCTAAGTGATTATAGTGCTCGCCTAGTAATCAAAAGGTTGCCGGTTCGATCCTGAGAAAAGTCCTACACCTTACACCTTCAAACCAAATTTCATAAAAATGGACTAAAAACTGTATTACTCGCAAAACATAGCTTAACTATTAAATATTTTACATACAGTTGGTTATTTAACATATTTTTTTAAAGAGTTTTATACGGAGATGACTACAGTATAAGTCATCATCCATGACAAGGAGTATTGTTGCTGTAAGTACCCACTAATACGGTACTAAACAAATATCTCACCTTAAAATTATTAAAATGAAAATATCTTACAATATATCCAACTAGTTTCATTGAGTGATAGCCACTATTAGGTAATACTCGCTCATGTATAATCCAGTCAGGACCCTCACATTTATGATCATCACAGTACAAGTGTGCTCCAGTAAGTGATAGCCATTGGTATGCAACAAACACTGATATATCCTCAAATTAGGTCCTAAACATTCATGTATATCACTGTTACAATGTGCTTCAGTACTGATAACTACTTGTTGGTAAAAATACCGATACATTATCCAGTAAGGTCTATTATATTCATAGACACTTAGTTTGTCTAAAACGTGGAAAATAAATCTGCCTGAGTGGAAAGAAGTAAAAGGTCTTACTTTCCATTAGACTAGCTGATAAATTACCCGGTTATTTAGAGCGTATTTTACTCTTACTGAATGCAACGTGGACATAATTCAATAAAAACTTACTTTATTTGTTGGTGAGAAATGGTTTTTGGTTACAATGAACCATTGATTGACCTATTTTTGCGCATTTTTTGGTTAGTAAAACTATTAGTTAAATAATAAAAGAAAATTTTATGTTGGATATTCCACTAATGTGTTGCTGTATAGGATATTTATTTCCTAAAACATAATGTACACCAACACAATTTGATGAATGTGACTATTCCTGTTTGTTTTGTCATGAAACGTTATATTTTGCCTCTTTGTCAATTACCCAGAAAATAAATTGACCCCATGTTGATGTAGCAATGTACACTAACTTTAGGGGGGTGAAGACAGATTATCGAGGTGGAACCTTTATTCTTTTGTAATAATTTGTATAAGCAAAGTAGTAATATAACTATATACTAACCAACACAAGTAGACTTCTCATCCCATTGTACATTTTAAAGCTCGTTTTTCGTATCTAGTTCATGTCCATTGTTAATGATTCCTAGTGTTGACAAAATTTTGCTTCTATTATTTTAGGGTTAATTTAATGGTTTGTGCTTTAGTGTTTAGTTATATAACTAGGAAACGTGTTAAAAGCATTTAATTTTATCCCTTGGTCTGTATACACATTTTTCTCTTGTACTTTTGTTATTAACACATGTTATTAATCATTATTAATTTTTGTAAACAGTTTTCAATAATAATACACATTCTTTTGTTCACATCACAGTGTTTTTAATTTAATCTACATTTTTTCTATCAAATAATCATTTCAAGAACATCAGTTCACAACAAAACAAACAAAACGGGTTATTGTTGATGATTAGATAATTTTATTTGGTTAAACGAGGTTTTAAATTACTAAAATAACAAGATACTAATAGTAAATAAAACACTACCTCTACAGTGCTACGGATAGAATTAACAACAACATCGTATTCAGCTAAAGGATGAGAAATTTACTAAGGGGGTATGTTTTATCTATATAACTGTGTACAGTTTGTACCAAAAATGAAAAAGAACAAAATTTAAACAGAAAGTTAAAGTTTGTTTTGTGTTTGATTGCACAACTAACCAATACCAACTTCCTAAATAAATTACTAAAACTATATTACTATGCATTATGACGTTATTTCCTAACCCAGCAATATCTGATATGATTTTTTTTTGTTTTATGGTTTAATAACTAAATGTCAGTTTTATATTTAGACACTTATAATAAACACTATCAATAGACTATCTTAAGCTGAACTCTAGCCCCTTAAACGACATAGATATGGATACAAATTAAAAGTCATAAATTAGGAAATCATAATAATAATAGGCCTTGTTAATTATTATAGTCTCTTGGATCCATATTGGAGAACATTGTTACCAAAATCTATTATTTGTTATTATATAATGTAATAATGTGATATATTATTTGTTATTATATCTATTATTTGAAAGTATAAGCGTATCAACCAAGCATATTAAAAAAAATGTGTATAATATATCAAGATTATTGGGCAAAGTTTAGATTCGACTTTCGTATTTTGTCTGAAAAATAGTTTTCAATAGTTCTGTTTGAATATAAAGAGTAGTCTAAAAGACTTTGTGTAAGAAATCGCTGTTGATTTGATTTAACCAATACGTAGATTCATGTAAACTTTGACAACGTTCGCTCTCTTAAAAAAAAACTCCCATACCATGGTTAGTCTCACTCTAAACTCTAGGATTTCATCGCAGTGTCGTACTCCTTTCAATATGTCGTAATCAAATTGTAATAGGAATAATACTTACAGTTTATACCTGCATGTTTATTCATGAAAATATTGAATATGAGATTAAGAGTCAGTTATTATTTTAAATCGTTGTTTATAAGACTATTATCGCGTTTCCTTGAGTTTCACTGCATTATTACATTACATGCAGCGACTTCACTTGTAGTTATTGAAGTGTAGCCAAATAGCTTTACTCAGTGTTAGTAACTTGCTAAGTGTAACAGGCAAGCGACTAACTTCTCGGCGCGCTCACTGCATTACAGAGGTTATATTCGCAGAACTACACAACATAACTGGGATGCAGTCAGTGAATGTGCCCATCGTCAATATGAATTTGTTTGGTACTTATTTAAAGACCCTAGATTGGTGCTACCCTAACCTTGCCCAACGTTATCTACGGCGAATCGTCCCCACTCCGACTACTGGAAACGCTCCTCACTAGCATTGCCGACGGCGTCATGGGCAGACGTCCGTACCTACCTACATAATTTTACATAGACTCTCTCAATCTCATTAACTTTCAATTAACTTCCTTTCTGTCAGTTTTAAGTTTTTTTTTTTTCAATATACCAGTCATTTTTAACTTCACCAGTGCTAGTCATTTCCCTTGTTGTTGCCCCCGCACCCTTGGTCTACACCGCTGCTGTCTACACCGCTTCCATCCCCTGGACTACCCACTACCTTGGACGAGACGGACATCATCCACCTTCAAGACATCCGACAAGGTAACGGTAGCACCAGCATTAATTTTGTTGTTCAAACCGCCGTACGGCTTTCCGTTAAAGACCGTACACAATTTGGCCCTTCTTCCCGCGGATATGATTTCGTACTATGCACCTTAATTTAATAACCGCAAATACAGTCCACGTAAACATCTCAACTTATTCTCAGATAATTTCTCTCCTCATGAAACAAACCTTGCAATAATTTTATATGTAGTTATAAATTGTTGTTTAGTTTGAGTTCAATAACCTTGTACAGTGAACAGACAGGCAGGAATAGTTTTGAAAAGTTTTGGCTTGTAGCTATGCGCTGATAAATTGACCGTTATCCAGTTTTTATGTCCCAAGGTCAACTAACGCACCACAATATTCTGCATTGTATTGTATCCATTCCAAAAATAACTAAGCTATGACGTAACCGCATGGAATATTCGCTTTATCAGTCAGCTGATCTAACTGGAAATATTCTACCTCTATATTTTATTTTACAGAATTTATTTCCTTGTACTCACTTTCACAATGATATGATTGATATGTCCACTTAATACTTGTCTATTAATACTGCATTTATAATAGTTGTAATTTTTATTTTATTTTATTTTTGTTAAAGAAATAAATATTATACATTTCACAATGGCTGCTAAGAGTCTTGAAAAGTGTGTTAAGAAAAGAGAAAGGTATTTTTATAAGTTACAATTATGTTACGATCTTGTAAAAGAATTGCCACAACAGAAAGATAGTTTTATTGCTAGGTATTCTAATTTGTCTAATGCGTACTCATCATTTGAATCTCTTTCCGAAGAAATGGATAACCTCAATCTTGAAATAACTGATGTTAGCGTTAGGGTACTAGCGCGCCTTTTAAACAGTTTGATGACATGTACTATAAATATATGGCTGCCTACAACAAGATTGTTGCCTCTGATCCACCTTCAAATGTCAATGTTGAACCATCACCCGCAGTTCAGCCTAAACCTAAACTACCCCAGATATATATAAGTAAGTTTGGTGGACAGTTGGAACAATTTAACTCGTTTAAAGCTTTGTATGATAACTTGATTCACAATACTTCTTTGGCCCCAATGGAGAAGTTTAGTTATTTAAAGAGCTTACTAGAAGGCCCCGCTTTGTCTATTGTTGAAGGCATACCATTCGATCCAGACAATTATAAGTTAGCTTATGACTCTTTGGTTGAACGCTACACCAATCCCCGTATCTTGGCTTGTTTTTATCTCAATAAAATACTAGATCAGCAACCTGTAAAGACCCCTAGTCTAAGTAGTTTAAGACAAGTTCTTGATGTGTTTCATATTAATGTCCAAGCGTTGAAAAGCCTAAAAGTAGACGATTTGTCAGATTTTATGTTGCTACAGTTAGCGCTACGTAATTTAGACAATAGTACCAGGAAAGCATTTGAGTTAGAACTTAAATCTAAGCAATTTCCCACCTTAGAAGACCTTATGGAATTTCTTCGTGCTCAGTGCTGTGTCTATGAACTCACTAAAGAATCTCACAAATCTACTTTAGTTTTGCCCAAGTCACAGATCCCTCATACTCGCAAAACATTGTTCTCATCTCACTCAACTCATCGCAGTACAACTCAGTCTGACCGCACAGCAACCCAGTCATCTTATCGTCCCGCTATCAGTTGTCCTATGTGTAAAGGTGAACACCAACTGTACCGATGTGATCAATTCCTCGCTTTGGCCCCGCACAAACGTTATTCTACAGTACGTTCATTCAATCGTTGCTTCGCATGTCTCGGTTCCCACCTCATTTCCATGTGCACTTCTAAGTCGAGCTGTCGGGTTTGCAGAAGTAACAGACACCACTCTCTACTCCATGAACCAAGCCGAGTCACCGCACCGCTGTCTAAGCCAAATGTGAATCCTGACCTACCTCAAACCTCCGCTGCGCATTCATCGCCCTCAACCACCGTCAACCCCGTGCCTACTACTTCGGTTAACACTACACCGCCTGCTCAAACGTTATCCTGTCAGTTTCAGCATAACTCAATGAGTAATTCTACCCTGCTAGGTACCGCTCAAGTGTTGGTTCAAGATGCTCTAGGCCACTGGCAAGTTTGCCGGGCTGTTATTGATGGAGGTAGTCAGATTAATTTTGTTACTCAATCTCTAGCCCAGACATTACGTTTACCAATCAGAAAATGTAATGTTAACATTTCCGGAATTGGCCAACAATCTGATTTAACCGCAAAAGGACTTGTCACTTGTAACGTTGCTTCCCGCTATAACAGAGACGATAACATTCAGATTGACGCAGTAATAATTCCTCAAATCTCTTCTGTACTTCCGGCTGCACCTATTCCCGAATCATTGATAAATCGTTTCAATTCTATACAACTGGCTGACCCTGATTTTCACCGCCCTGCCAAGGTTGATATTTTGTTCGGAGCACAGGCTTTCACAGACATTCTTTCGGATGGTTTCGCGCTTATTAAAGGCAAACCAAGCGCCCTCAGCACAATCTTTGGATGGATCCTTATGGGTGATGTTCCCAAACAGCCCATGCAACAACACGAACTAAATTCTTTGTTTGTTTCATCTCAAAGCACTGATAGGCTCTTAGAAAAGTTCTGGGAAATGGAAGAAATAAATTTACCAAAACCCTTAAGTCCCTCTGATCAGGCATGTGAAGACCACTATCAGTCCACCATCCAGAGGGATAATACCGGACGTTACGTGGCCTCTTTACCCTTTAAAGACGTTAAACCTGACTTAGGCTCCACTTTGAAAAATAGCTCTCCGCAAGTATCTCCAACAAGAGACAAGATTTCACAAGAAACCAGATATTCGTTTTCAATACATGACTCATATGCAGAACTATGTTGACCTAGGTCATATGTGTTTGGCCCCTGCGCCCTCTCCATACATTCTTACTCATCACGGTGTCGTTAAAGAATCTTCTACATCCTCCCCGCTTCGTGTTGTGTTCAACGCTTCTGAATTAAGTGACACAAATCAGTCTCTTAATAAATCACTGTTAACTGGACCTAAGCTTCAAGCTGATATTGGAACTATTATCACAAACTTCAGATTGCACCAGATTGCTATGACTTGTGACTTCAAACAAATGTATCGAGCTATTCGTATAACACCGGCTGATTGTAAATATCAAAATTTGTTTTGGCGCTCTGACCTCACGGGCCCTGTACAGGAATGGGAATTACAAAGACTAACCTTTGGTCTCTCGTGCAGTCCTTATATTGCACAACGAACTTTGAAGCAACTAGTGCTTGATGAAGGCGCTAAGTACCCAAATGCGGCTGATATTCTAAGCTCCTCTTGTTATATTGACGATCTTGTTTTTGGCGCTCCAACCGAGACTTCGGCTCTTAAGCTTTACAAAGAAATCACCCAACTATGCTCATCAGGTGGTTTCGAACTTCATAAATGGTCAAGTTCAAGTAGCTCCGTCCTCACCACAATCCCCGCCGACCGTCGAGAAACACCCCATCCGTTAGGATCTACACACTCGATTAAAGTACTAGGACTTGAATGGGACCCGACTACTGACTGTTTCCGCTACTCTATTTCACCTGTCAACAGTACGCCAACCAAACGCAATGTATTGTCTCAAGTTGCTCGAGTTTACGATGTAAACGGCTTTATTAGTCCAATTATTTTCACCTTAAAATATCTACTTCAACAGATTTGGATTGAAAAGCTCAACTGGGACGACCCTCTCCCTCAATATCTCCAAAATGTTTGGGATAAATTCATCAAAGAACTACCCCTTATGACACAGTTCAAAATACCTCGCTACATTCTCAGTAACTACTTAACCGCTCAGCTGATTGGTTTCTCTGATGATTCCAAAATAGGCATGTGCGCCTCCTTGTATCTACGTATTGAATGTGAAGATAAGAGTGTAGAGTGCAACCTCCTGCAATCCAAAACTAAAGTCGCTCCTCTGAAAACACTTACGATCCCTCGTTTAGAATTGTGTGCCGCTCTTTTCCTCTCTCAGTTAGTAAAAGCGAACCAACCGCTTATTAATAAACTTCAAATATCAGACATCTTCCTATTCACAGACTCCATGAATGTCCTTGGTTGGTTAAATACACCACCACACCTCCTAGAAACCTTTGTCTCAAACCGTGTCTGTAAAATCACAGAAATCACCCCTGTTGATGTTTGGCGTCATATATCAGGAGATGAAAACCCTTCTGACTGTGGCACTAGAGGTTTATTGCCGAATAGTCTGTTGAGTCACCCTCTTTGGTGGCATGGACCCTCTTTTATCCACAATGATATCTCATCTTGGACTCTACCGCCTTCAAACTTTTCTTCGGATGTTATTGAGCATCAACAAACTCCCACGAAGAACACCTTGACAACTAATGCTGTTCCCCAAAACGATCTTTATCAATGGATGAATAGGTTTTCATCACTCATTAATCTTCAAAACACCATGGGCTGTGTACTGAGATTTATCCATAACTCACGATCTGATCAATGTAATAAACGCTATGGCTCGTTATCAGTTTCTGAACGAGATGCCGCTCTGGAATGTTGTATAAAATTAGTACAAACACGGCACTATTCTGAAGAAATAAAAGCTCTAAAACTATCCAAGCCTTGTTCTTCATCACTAAGAAAACTTTCTCCATTTCTATCCTCGGACACCCTCATGGTGGGGGGTAGATTGAAATTAGCTCCGTTGCCGGAATCATCAAAACACCCTGTATTGATACCCTCTCAGTGTCATTTGGCAAACCTTTTATGTGATTACTATCACTTGTATTCTCTACATGGTGGTCCAAAACTAGTACAAGCATTGATTCAAAGACGCTTCTGGATTATTGGTGCAAGAAATCTTATAAGAAAACGATTATTTCGATGTATCACTTGCTACAAAATGAAAGCTAAACCCACGCAACCTCTTATGGCAGATCTTCCAATCTCACGATTTCAATAGACCCGATCCTTTATTAATGTCGGATTAGATTTTGCTGGCCCTTTTCTCGTTAAAGAAAGCACAAGACGAAATGCAAAACTATCAAAGTGCTACATTGCTGTGTTTGTGTGTATGGCAGTCAAAGCTGTCCATCTTGAGTTAGTGCATTCACTCTCTACTGAATCTTGTTTAGCCGCTATAGACAGATTTATCGCTCGGAGAGGAATCTGCCGAAACATTTACTCTGATCAAGGTCGCAACTTCGTCGGTGCTGCACGCCAACTACAAGAAATCTACTCTCTCCTGAAGAACTCCACCTCACAGATCTCAGAACATTTGGCTCAACGAGAAATAATTTGGAACTTTAACCCGCCATATGCCCCAAACTTCGGAGGCCTCTGGGAGGCTGCAGTGAAGTCGACCAAACACCATCTTAAAAGGATACTGCAAAACCATAATTTCACTGCTGAATAATTCACCACATTCCTGTGCCGTGTTGAACCTGTACTGAACTCCAGGCTGCTTTGCGCACTCTCATCGTCACCTGATGACGACTTTAATTACTTGTCTCCTGGCCACTTCCTCACAGGAGACCTCCTGCTATCACGACCGGAAGAAGACATCTCGGAAGAACCCTTAAACCTACTCTCACGCTGTCAGCTAGTTTCTCGTGCCTCTCAGCACTTCTGGAAGAGCTGGAGAAGAGATTATCTCCATACTCTTATCCAACGCCCCAAATGGACTGAGAAAACCCTCAACCTTAAGGAAGGAGACTTAGTTTTAATGTACTCTAAAAATACTGACCCTTTGACTTGGCCCCTAGGTAGGATAATTAAGGTTATGCCAGGATCCGACCAAGTTGTAAGAGTTGTTAAAGTCAAAACCCCTGTAGGTATTGTAACACGCCCTGTAAATAAGTTAGTTCATCTCCCTATGGTTTAGATTGTGTTACCTTTGTCTCTTTGTACATATTATCAACATTTTGTATTATCTTTATAGTTAGGTAACAGGTTTGTTTCATGATGACGGTTATTATCCAAGGTTTTTGTTTTAAAGATTTACAGTTTCTTTAATGTTCTTTAATATTTTCTCAAAAAATGCTTTTTTGGGTGGGGGGAATGTTTGGTACTTATTTAAAGACCCTAGATTGGTGCTACCCTAACCTTGCCCAACGTTATCTACGGCGAATCGTCCCCACTCCGACTACTGGAAACGCTCCTCACTAGCATTGCCGACGGCGTCATGGGCAGACGTCCGTACCTACCTACATAATTTTACATAGACTCTCTCAATCTCATTAACTTTCAATTAACTTCATTTCTGTCAGTTTTAAGTTTTTTTTTTTTTTTTCAATATACCAGTCATTTTTAACTTCACCAGTGCTAGTCATTTCCCTTGTTGTTGCCCCCGCACCCTTGGTCTACACCGCTGCTGTCTACACCGCTTCCATCCCCTGGACTACCCACTACCTTGGACGAGACGGACATCATCCACCTTCAAGACATCCGACAAGGTAACGGTAGCACCAGCATTAATTTTGTTGTTCAAACCGCCGTACGGCTTTCCGTTAAAGACTGTACAGAATGATTCGTTGTACTAGGTAATTAATTGAAAATTGAATTAAAACCACAGTATTACTTGTAAATGAACACTTTGAATACGTATATGTAATAGATTTGTTCATTCTTGCAGTTTCACTTGTATTCGTTTAGTTATGTTCCACATACAAGAAATGAAATAAATTTTACTAAAATAATATAAACCAATTATAAAAAATTACAAAAAATGTTGGCCTAATTTCTTTTGTTAAGATTATTCTAGATGGAATTTTATTAGCTAAACCGTACTATATTGTTTTCTTGGATTTAAAAATATAGTATCATTTTTTGTTATAAACTGTAATGCTATCTGAATCTTTATGTTCTCAGTTGTTTACCGATTTAAATATGTATATTCAGAGCATGGGCTAGAACATTATATGATTTTGGCATACGCAACATTTTAAAGTTTCGTATTTATGAGTGTGATTAAACTATTGCATTACTCTTTAAAATATCTAAAAAAAAATATACTATTTATTTTTGCGAAATGTATGTACACAAATATACTATTAGGTATAAACATTATTATATCATCCACTTTCGACATGAAAATTTATTGTGAAATATTTATGATATTATTTGCATATTGACTACTTTGAATAGGATACAATGAACTGTAAACATTGAGATATGATTAATGCACTTCAATTCGATAGTTTTGTTGAATAAACGTGTTATTTATTCGTATCTAGGAAAGCAAAAATTCTTTATGCTCTACTTGTTTAAACAAAAATTTACATCCTGCGTTGAAATAAACATTTGTTACATTATTTTATTTACTTAGTTCGTTTTTATTACATACCTATATCATATTTCTCTGCTACTAATTTAATTATTTCAGACACAATATGCTCTTAATAAATTCCGTGGATTTCATCATGATTATTGGTCCCCAGTTATTATTTAATTTATCCAGAATTTTCGTTCGGTAAATTGTTATCGTTGATTCGTTTCGATGTTTAATATCATTAGAAATGTTCAATTTAATCATAAAGTTCGATTACATGTTGAACTTTTACGCATTTTCAACGTTTTCTCCTTCATCAAAACAGGACAGTTAAAATTATGACCATATGAAATATCCTTTCTCATCAAAGAAATAACTCAGATAGGCTTAATTTGTTATACATATTTAACCTTTTTGTTTTAAATATTTTATTTGTAATTGTACTGGTTGGTAAAAATATGTTTTCAGCACAAAATAACACCAGCGATTTCCTTACACCATAGGCGTATTACTTTACATTACATCTTAATCAGCTTAATACGTGCTATTTTATGGAGAGTAAATAAAAACAAGTCTAATAACAATCAAACATATATTTATAAAAGGTAAATATATATAAAATGTCATTCGCCTATTAGGTCTGATGATTATTGGAGTGTCCAATCGAAATCGATCACCATTACCACCTTTTATGTATATTTACCATCTTGTTTAAATAAGTATAAGTGTAAATATATGTTTAAAGTGTTATTATTTTTTTTTTTTTATTTAATCTCCCTATAATTTAAGCCAAAGATACAGCGATGTTTCCAAACCTATTCATGCCACGCATCTTATTTACTTTTCGGAACGATATTACGTTAAAACGTTTGTTAAGTAAAAAAAGACGTGGTTTTGTTTTTGTCTAGTCTGTGGCATTGTTTCATTTGGATGATTTTCAAGGCACAGATTAGTTTTGAAATTTATATTTAATTTATGGTTAACCAATAAAAGAATTGAGAAAACTAAATTATTGCTAGTTTCAATGAAAAATAATGCTAATTTTATATACTCGTACTTTCTGTACTCGCTTGAACCTATCTCTACAAGTTTGCTACAAAAGATTAGTCCGACCATCACTCTGTGTTTAACATTCATTAAATCTACAAATATTAATACAAAGCTCTAAGCATATTTTGATGTAGTGAACCACGGTAATTGTACAAAGAGCTGTACCCAATGGAATGTGGATACCTATACAGAGTACAGCGCAGTAAGCCATTGATTAGAGCTGATGCAGCCACCTGTAAAGACAACCTAATTGTGTCACCGTGGATAATACGAGTACTTGGAGTTGAATCTATGTTTGCAACTTTGATCAAGCTGTAGTTGTGTTATTTTCGGGAATTACAAGCTCTTATGATCATATGTATAAAAAAATATACTAACGAGCGGTATTTTGTTTAAGAGTAGCCTTATGTTAGACGAGAACAAACAATCTGGGCTTAACCTTAGTATGGTTTAAACAAAGGGAAGGGGAGCGAGCTGGTCTAGTGGTTAGAGCTCGGCACTTTGATCCCTTAGGTCCAGGGTTCAAATCCCACCAATGGATTTTATCTAAGTGATAGTGCCGCAACCCCTAGGTGTAGCCTGAAGTAGTGTGCAAAACAATTCCAGGCTCGTGCCTTAGCTGAAATGTGTTTCTATACTCCTCGTTATCCTAACTTGAGGCAGCCCAAGGCCGGACTAGATATACGGCAATATATCTATCTATAAGCAATATAAATATAGGAAAGTTCTGATTTTTTATTACAAATTAATTTTGCAGGACGGTTTTTATGATCTAGTGAAAGAATGAAAATGAACAGTTCATCGTAGAATACAATGCTCTTTCCATAAAAAAAAAAATTTCTTTTATTCACGAGCTATTTTTTTTGGAACGGGTTCTAAACCAAATTAAGCAATGAAACATTTTATAGTTCCTGTATCAGCGTAATACAAATAGTTATGCAATATCCTCGGAAACAATGATGTTTGATTTGTAAATAAAACATGGCTGGAATGAAGAGAGTCGCTCCCAACTGAGTACGCTGGAGGAGATCTGGTTGCTGCCCTACGTTCCTCGGAGGAATAACAGCAAATAATTCAAGTAAGTCATTCTTTGAACAAGATATATATATTTTTCACAGCTACTTACATACAGATACTTTATGTTTGTGCACGTACAACTAAACACATGCATGTTATGCATTTGTGCGAAAAACATCATATTAATCTGTCATCTATGAGTATTTTTAGGCCAAAACATAATGCTTATTTAATTAACATACTGTATATTAAAAAACAATATTGTATGTTTAATCACCGTTAAAAGGAGTCTGGATTTAGTAAATATTATAATAATAATATCCCTAATAGAAACAGTTAGGTTGTATTCTTAATAAAATTTGAGGTAGAATTTAACTTAGTAGAACTTTGTGGTTGGGTATATGAGAGGAACTGTTAATAATGTAAATTCTAAAAAATTCATTGGCGCTGTTCCAATTACAAGTGAATTTGTTTCTACAAATTACAGTTTTGAATAAGATCTGTCTACGTTTCTCTTTCGCTATGAAACAAGGATCAATGAGTCGACAACTATTGTACTTAATTTATGTAATCACATCAAACTGGCCCGGTTATTGATGACAGCTAAGTTTACTCGGTTGAAGAATTCCAATCTGATATTTTATTCAAGTCACGAGGTGAGTATACTCTTCCCCTTCTTATACACACTAATATACCTTCCCCTCCCCAGGATCGGCTGGCAGAATATAAAGTAGGAGGTTGTAGGATTCGATTAATGTTGTGTCAGTGTTCCTTATTTTGCCAAGCATGAAATCGTGCTCACTACGAGGGAAGTTATTTCTTTTAACCATGAACTAAATATGATTGAATGTGTTTATATTAAAGTAAACCATGGTGAAATAATTGTTGAAAATAATTCAAAAATTAAATATTCTTTACTACTGATGGATATCCAAGTTGTAAAGGAAGCCAAAACCAGTTAGATGAATGTGATAAATGTATCTCTGAATGCTACTGATACAAGTATTCTATTTATAATATCAATGACCTATATCTATTCAGAGGTACATTGATATTACCTTCAACTTGCAAACGAGATA